CCTGAAAGCACATTGCTTCTTAATGTGGTGGAAGTATAGGCAGGTGAACAGCTCACTTTCCTCTCAAAATACGTGTTAGAACCAGAGATTTTGAGAAGCTAGTATTTAGGGTGTGTATATATGTATATAAGGGACATTTATTTTACCCAAAGTCAGAGCTGTTTTAAAAAGAGAAAAAGAAAGAAAGGAAAGGAAAGGAAAGGAAGAAAAGAAAGAAATGAAGCTCTTAAGATGTGTTCACTAATGTGAAGTGAGTTGTGTCCATGTGTGTGATGCTGTGAGGTATGCAGACTGTGGTCAGTGTTCACGGTCAGCTGCATCTGTAGAGCAGATGGGCTACTATTGACGTGCCTAGAGTACTTCTTTGTCAGTTATTTGACCACAGTACTATCTGACCTGAGTAGATAGGTCTTCCTGTAGCTGTTGGGTGGCATGACAGTGCTAGACATGAGTCCGTTCTCTAAGTGTTGGAGCACCACTGGTATGCACTCAGGATGACACTTTTTTGTACGTAAGTCTTTATTTCATGTGGTTAAGTACCTTGACTGAACATTGAAATAAATTTTATTTGTGCCTCCAAGCAGGGTTTAATTATCTACAAAATAATTCTCAAACAGCAACTTGGTCTAGTCTTGTGTCATGAACTTGTCTGGCATGTACATATTTAGTTGATGTATCGGCTTCACACCACCCAGTCTTTCCTGTCAGCTGTTTACAAGAGTGACCTAGCACAGCAAAATCAAATCAGGTATGAACTAAACTTAGAAGATTATTCCCTCCTGTACTGAACACGGGACCTTTCCTGGTGTCAGTTTTTAGTGTTAAGCTTCTATTGCAAAAGGGAATTTTTCTTTACTTCTTTGTCCTTTGCAGGCATAAATTTGACCTGCTAGTTAAAACAATCACAGCCAAGCTGGAGGACTCTGGGTAAAATATTGCTCCACAACCTCTCAGCTTGGATCCAGCTCTCCAGGCAAGGCCTTTGCTAGCTAGTGTCATTGTAGTATACTGAGCCAGAATCATTTGACTCGTGTTGGTGAAGGGAACTTTAGAAGAGCTGTATAAAGCCTGGCATGATGGCATCCATCTTTAATCCCAGCACTTGGGAGGTAAAGGCAGACAGAGCTCTATGAGTTTAAGGCCTGGGCTATATAGTTCTGTAGAGATCATTCTGTACTTAACCCCGAGAATCATGAGTAGCTTGTAGAAGGCCTCATCCGCCTCTCTCCTCCCAAATAGGCTGAGCTTTGTCACTGGTTTTCTTCCACATAAAGTACTTGGATCTTCAGTTTCAAAATACAGACAGTAGCTTCAGCTTTTTATTTTGTTTACTTTTTTCAGAAGTGATTTTTTTCCCTCAATTTTTAAAGAATAGAAGTAGCCTATATTCAGTTTAGAGCATTAAAGTTCAAGAGGGACTGGAGAGCTGGCTCAGTGATTGTAAGAGCACTTCCAAGTTTGTTGCCAGCACTCACAGCAGGCAGTTCATGCCCACCTGCAACTCCAGCTCCAGGGGATTTGACGCCCTCTCTGGCTTCTGGGCACCTGCATACCATAGTGCCATCCAGAGTGCCACACACATACACAAAGCTAAATCTTTTTTAAATGAATAAAATTCAGGATGGACATCCAAGTATCATGGCATATGCCTTGAATCCCAGTACTCGGGAGTCTGAGAGAGGAGATTCTGTAAGTTTGAGGCCCATCTAGCAAACCTCGACTCAAGGAGAAAAGGGAACACTGCTAACAACTTGAATTACGGGGAAAACCTGCTTTAACCTACACTTGAATGTGGTATAGGGCTGCTGCCACAATAAATGTCAACCTGCCTGTGAGTCTGGGTTGATGACTAGTAGGCTAGAGGAAAAGCCATATTCAGTTGATTTTTAACTGGTAATGGTATAACATCTTCCTGCATCATTGTATTTAATTCCCATTACTAATTGGGTTGAAAATGCATAGAATAATCCTTTGAGTTTGCTGAGGTCATGGATAAACTTGATAAGTTTATGTTTTATTACCATCTTTGTTACACTTTGGCTCTCACTACTCCTTTGTATCAAAAGTTTTTCTTAGAAAATAATGTGATTCTGTGTTCAGCTTGTGTTCCTGAAAAAGCACCAAGGAAAGCGTGATGTCTCTGAAGCCTTTAACTCAAGGACGCAAGTGGTGCCAGGGAGTGTGGTGCTAAGCTGAGTTAGAAGATAAACTGAGAAAAAGGCCATTATAAAGACTTGGGTGTTACCTATATGCCACCAAAAGCATCCCTCTTAAGGCAAGTACTCTGTGTGGCAGCAGGTGGTTCTACTTCCTGCATCCACAGGGAAAGTAGAGGTCACATAAGGTATGGCCTGAGAAGGAGACTGCCAGTGACCCTCGTAATGACAATCTTGTTCTCTGTTCTTTTGTCTTTAGATAGAAATGGGTCTGAACAGTGACATAGTGTCAAAGTTGAGACGCTTACTGCCTTTTGCAGTTAGCAAACATTAATACAGGCTTCTGTGCCAAGTGTCACAACTTAGTGTCACACGCTCCCTGACAGTATTCTTCCAGAGGACTTACGTCACATCCCTGCGGCCATGCATGAGAGCGCTCAGCGGTGAATGGCTCCGCTGGGAATTAGCACTAGGATTCTTGTAGTAGAGCAGGCCAGTTTCTTGATGGAATTGGTAGATCTGCATGAAGATGACAGTAGCTTTGGCCTTCTTTTTCCTGTGTTACACGTGGAAAATTGTTGGCAGGTGGTGATGGCACACGCTTTTAATGTCAGCACTCCAGAAGGCAGAGGCAGAAGGATCTCTGTGAGTTTGAGGCCAGCCTGGTCCTCCGAGCAAGTTTCGGGACATCCAGGGCCACACAGAAAAACCCTGTCTCAAAACAAACAAACAAAAAGGTGTGGGGGGGGGTAGGGGGGTAGAAAATTGTTAACAGTGTTGGATCAGATATGCAGAGACAGTTGACTCCAGAGGTGGCCAGCCCATTCTGCTCTGGTTTATCATGTGTCTGACTCCACTCTCCCTGCCCCTATTTTATTTAGATAGTTCAGAAATGGATCTATCACATCTCAGAGGGCTGAAATATACTTCCAAGCTAACCCTGTACTAGTGAGTTTATCTTGTCCTAGGGGATGGGATTGTGGAGTGGGAGTTAAGACCATCAAGAACTGGGGCAGCAGCAGGAGATGAGACACTCTCTGCCCAGTGTTCTGAGTACAAAATGACCTGTTGGAGGAGCCCTTCACTTTCAGCTCCCCTTCTGAGATTCTGAATGAGTTCTGAATCAGGTCAGCAGAAGCCTAAACAATAGAGCTTTAAAGTTCTGAACAATAACTGAAACAAAACAGTGTATGGAAGGGTAAGAGGTGCCTGCAATTTGGATGTTTTATTGTAATTACATGTAATATGTAACTCCTGTGGAACCAAATTTAAAGTGATATGGGATATACACATACAACACTTGAAATCAACTACTAGATACAAACCACAAGTTTTCAGGCCAAGTATGATGGCATGTGCCTGTGATTCCAGAACTCTGGAAGCTGAGGCAGGCTTGGGGGTTACTTAGCAAGTACCAGGACACCTGCCCTGGGGGTGGGGTGGGGTGGAGCAACACTTAGTGCATTCAAATTAGTAAACAATGACAGTAGGCTTTGCTTCAGATAGCTGTCTGCTTCCTACAATAGTTTAAATTTTGGAATTTGAAGTTTTTATGTATTTGTATATCCAGTTTATCAAAACAAGAATTTGATAGCTGTCAGCTACTCCATTGCACCTTCCTTTACAGACTTCCAAAGGTAATGCCCTCCTAAGAGTTGCCTCATTGTTTTCTTAGAGAAACCGAACTAGTGAACATTGATGTTCAGGGCTGCTGGCTTGCACAGCCTTGGTGCTGGTCACAGAAGTACAATTCAGAGTTCACCAGATACTACTGCACTTTGATTCATATCAAAAGTATTTTCATTACAAGCTCACATGCTCTCATTTAGACAAAATTAACTTTCTGTGACCTTCTTTGCTATTCTTAACTTGTGTTTACTGGTCTGGTACTGTCATTTCAGTGAGAGTCCAGTCTGTTTGCGGACACAGGTTGCGATGCCAGTTAGTGAGCAGCCCCTCAGCAGCAAAATGTGCTCTTCTGTTGGCTTGTTATGAATACAGTGGTGTGTCCTGTTTGTTGCACATATTACTACATTGATGCATTTTAATAAATTAGTTGGAATATACATTTGTGCCTGTTTTCATCTTTTAATTACGTTAACTTTTTACACTGAATTATCTGGTCTTTCAAAGAGCAGGCCTTTACAACCTGCAGTGTGGGCGTTTCTGATTCTTTTGACTGATGGGTTCAGCCTACTTAAAATTTTATTATTTTTTAAACTTTAATCAGACTTGTATTTCATAGTTTAGAATTATTTTATTCTGGGGTGGGAGGATGTGACTTTAAAAAGCTAAAAACACTTGAGAGACAGAGGCAGGCGGATCTGTGGGTTCGAGGCTAGCCTGGTCTACAAAGTGGATTTCAGGACAGCCAGGGCTATTAACGGAGAAACCCTGTCTCGAAAACCAAACAAAAAGGCTAACAGGGAAAACACAGCCGGGCACAAAGGAGTACCTGTTTCATTCTCAAACCTCGGGTTTTTGCACTGACCCCAAAGACACAATGCAGGTGCTCAGTGGCCGTCTGCTGTGCACATACTTGCTGTTTAAGCAGAAAGCCAAGCACCAGAGGTAATACCAAAAGAAATCTGAGATTCTTAAAATTCAGAACAGCCACGTATTTGCTTCAGTGTCAGGCATGAAGTTAAACAGCCGCACTTCCAAATGGGAAGGATTAATGAACCACAACAGCTGGCCTTAGCGCCACAAACTCCGGCTAGCAGGACAGGCATCGGGCAGGCTAGGGGTTCCTCCGCCCAAGCGGGAGGGGCCACGCTCCTCCTCGGAAGCTAGGTGGGGGCCCGGCAGCCCTCATGGCGTCACCTCCGGGTCGCGCAAGCACTTCCGGGTCACCGGTCCAGCGCTGTGGTTTCCGTGGCCGAGGAGGTGGTCGCAGCAGGCGCCCTGCCCGGCTCTGCTGGCGCCGCGGCGGAAGCGCCTTCCCTCAGGTAGGCGGCGGCGGGGCCGGGAGCGGGGGAGCCGCGGCGGGGTGGGCGGTAGCGAGCGCTGTGGCCGCCGGAAGCCGCCCCCAGGCAGACGCGGCCGCGCGGGAGCAGCCGCCTTCCCGCTGTCCTCAGGCCGCGCTCGGTGGACGCGTGTCTGGCTCAGAGACCCGACCCGAGCGCTTCCGCTTCATCTCCCCCGGGAGGAGGGAGCTCCGCGGTTCTGCAGCTGTCGCCACCTTAAAGGATTGCAGATGGCCGCGGCGACTAGCTTCAGCAGACGTTGAAGTCGCTCCTAGCTGTTTTCTAACTAATGCTTAGATGTCGAATGGGAGCGCGACCCGGCTCTCTGCTGGCCCGTTGCAAAGTTTGCATCTCTCTGGCCCTTTTCGCCTCTTCTCCACACCCGTATGCCGACCGGTGTTTACCTTCAACGGATTAAATGTTTCGTTTGACTCCCGTCGTCGGTCAGGTACTGTTCTCGGCCCGCAGGTTTCCTCAGTGAACGAAACACAAAGATCCATGCTCTCGTGAACCTTACATTTTATACAGAGAATAAATATAAGACCGTTATGTAACTTGGCTTATGGTACCAACAAAAAATCTGAGCGAGCTAAAGGGTCTGGCATAGTGGGTGTGTGATCAGCTGAGGCGTTATTGGGTGGGAGCTGTTGGGGCAAGGATGAGTTTTGTGTGGTAGTCAAGTTCATATCTCAGCAAGAACATCCCAGGCAGCAAGACCAGCCACCAGAGAGGCAGAAACATGCCTGTCATGCTCAGGGAAGTTAGGATGTCCGAGAAAGGGGATAGAGAATAGAGGCAGACAGTAAGACCAGACCTAAAAGGTAGCCAAATTGTCAGTGCAGATGAAAGCCGTGATAAAAAGATTTTTCTAGCCCACGTTTTCAAAAAATAACCCCAACTGTAAATAATAAAGCGCGTGGGGGACGAGTGTGGAATGAAGTGAAATCAGGACACCATTTCGATGATCCAGATGCCTTGTAATAGTGGCTTAGAACAAGGAAGTAATAGAGGTGTTGAGAAATGTTTGGATACTGCGTCCATTTTGAAGGCTGTGTTTACAAGATTTGCTAGAAATTGCACATCTCAGTCGTTTACGTGACTTTGAGAGCTACATTAAAGGTCTAAGCCAATGGAAGTTTGATGTTACTTAAGCTGAGAGATAAAAAAGACAAGTAGAAGTTTTGAATAGGAAATTAGTACCAGAATTGAGAATTGTTTGGAAGACGTGCGAATTGGGGAATCACCAGCTGATATTTAAAGCCATAAGAATGAATTAAAATTGACGGAAAAGGAAGAGACTGTCCACCCTTAATCCCAGCACCCCAGGAGGGCAGAGGCAGGCGGATCTCTGAGTTCCAGACAAGAGGGTCAATCAGCCGCATGAACCAGTGAATCTAAGAAGACAGCCCCAAAGTGAAGTACCAAGCAGAGATCCTGTAACCGGAAGTCAGCTGTATCCGATGCGCTGGTTGGTGAAGATCATCCCTCAGCGGCCTGCAGCATCGGTTTCATTACACTTAGAGTCCAGAGCTCGGTGTGACTAGGGGAAAGGGAGAACTGGAAACAGTGAGTCAAATAACTCTTAACTTTCACCAAACAGGAATAGAATGTAGGTGGCAGGGGAAGTGATTTTGAATAGTGGTGGTTGTTACTCTACCCAAGGTGGGAGAAGTAACTGCCATTTTGTTTGCTGATATTGATGATGAGAGAAAGAAGGAACGACTGAATTGTTAGACAGTATCCTCAAGTATGCTAGAGAAAGAGGCCTGATACAAAGGTGAGAAATTACATGTAGATAAAAGCATGTTGAGTGTATGTAATGACAGAAAGAGTGTATGGGTACAGGCAGTGGTAAGTAGGTGAGTAGATAGATGGATGTGGTGGTGAGATTCTAGTTTCCACTAATTTAATTTTATCAGTAAAGTAGAAATATGCCCCACATGAATGTATTTCTAGTGTTTTTGATATGCCACCAAGTTTTTTACTCAACAATATTCTTTTAATACATAATACACACATTGTTCAGAGTGGTAAATACATTCCCTGTCTTCATGTATCATCTAGTCTAGTAGATGAGGACAATACCATGTGTCAACCTTAGTTATTGGTAGTAGTGAAACTGTGTGTGTCTGTGTGTGGGTGCACACACATGCACACATGTATGTGGGTGCTTATAGAGGCCAGAACAGGATATGGGATCCCTTGGAGCTGAAATTACAGCTGGTTGTGATCTAGCCAGTGTGGGTGCTTCAGAACTGAACCCAGGTCCCCTACAATTGCTCTTACCTTCAGGAGAGATGTCTCAACTATTTGATTTTTTTTTTTCTGTGTAAAATAAACAATTTTACATGTGGGTACAAAGAGAGAAGTGAGGACAAGAGATAAAAGTTTGGAGTAATCAACATATAGATGGGGTTTAACACCATAAGCTTAGATGGAATAACTAAGGGGGAAAGCCAGTAAAGAGAAGACTTAAGCCTTAGGGTCACACAGGAGATGGAAGTTAAGGAGCTGAGGAAGAATTGCCAAAGGAAACAGGAAATACAGTAGTTCACAAGCTGGGAGTAAAGAACTGAGAGTGGTGCCCCAATAGCTAAAGGAATGTCTCAAGATCACAGAATGATCTCTTGGATGAGATAATGGCCAACTGTATATAAAGATGGCTGGTCTTTACTTTTGCCAAGTCTTATCCCAAGTGAATGTTTGAGTTCATCTTCGTTCATCTTGTCTCTGTTTCCTGTCACAATGCCATCCTCTTGGCAGGAACTCTAATGGAATTTTAAGAGAACATAAAAATAAAGGACCCAAATGCAGATGCCATGTCACTATGTGACAGCAGGTAGAATGGATGCTATATGGAAATTTTTAAACTTAAGAGAAACCTGTGGGAAAAGTAAGAGTAAAGATTTTAATGAGTATGTCAGCATACTGAATTAAGATAAATACCAACTAGGTGGTGGCGCACGCCTTTAATCCCAATTCTCAGGAGGCAGAGGCAGGCAGATCTCTGTGAGTTCGAGACTAGCCTGGTCTATGAGAGCTAGTGCCAGGACAGGCTCCAAAGCTACAGAGAAACCCTATCTCGAAAAATCAAACAAAGAAGATAAGAAGATAAATACCATACCAATGTTAAAATCAGATAAATCAACTTTGAACAATTCTTCTAAATTTTACAGTAAATTAATATAGTAATTGATAACGAGTTCTAATAGTTCTGTGTTAGAATACATGAAGTAGTAGACTATTTTATATAATTTACATTGTTACAGGTTGGTCTTTTATATTAAATTTGTAGGACATCAATGCAAGCCTGAAGAAAAAGTAATTGCTTCATTTTAAGCCATGGCATATCAGTTATACAGAAATACAACTTTGGGAAACAGTCTTCAAGAGAGCCTTGATGAGCTCATACAGGTGGGGGCCAAATATTAAACATGCTTTATAAGTCTTCAAATTTTTTTGTTAAAAAAATTTTAAGTAAATGATTTTCCTCTTATTAGTGATGAAGTATAGAAATAATCCTTGGAAGTATTATCTTCTCATCTCAAAGTTAGAAGAAAGGGATATTCTATCACTTTAAAAGTAGTTCTGGCCAGTATAATGAAGGATTCTTTGAAATTTGAGTTAGAACTTTAAATTTCTGTTTCAGTTTTAGAAGAATTAATCTTATTCAAATCATACAACTAAGAAAGTATTCAATATTTTTTATTTATGTTCTGTTGTGATCTGAAGGGAGATGTGGGAGCCAGATGGCTTTTGTTTTTTTGAGATAGGGTCCAGACTGTCATTGAGTGCGTTCCATAGTTTAGAATAGTCTAGAGCTTCTGGTATTCCTGCCCTTGCTCCCAACCCGCTGGGATTGTAGGTGTGCAGCACCGTGCCTGGCTCCGTGTGTCTTTGTTTTCTTTATATATAGGGTCTCATGTCTTTTATTAGGAAAAAACTTGGTTTCCCATTTGTTGAATACTTTGTCCATCATTGACGGAACAGGAAGAGTTTTTCCTGGCTTTACAAACTCACTGCAAATTTCCTTTTTTGTAAAGATAGTAAAGAAGTTTTGTCAGGCTTTGCTTCATCATCACTTAGATAGAGCACAGGGAATAAGGACTTCTGCTTCAGAAGTTTTGGTTAACTTCTGTTAACTATTAGACTATAATTAATTTACTTTATTTTGTCTTTAATGTTCTTTCCTTAGTGAATTTATGATCTTCATTTTTTTTCTCAGTCTCAACAGATCACCCCCCAGCTTGCCCTTCAAGTTCTACTTCAGTTTGATAAAGCTATAAATTCAGCATTGGCTCAGAGAGTCAGGAACAGAGTCAATTTCAGGGTAAGGATATTTTCCTGTATCTGGAAGTCTGCACCGGTTACTCTGAGAGCTTATGTGGACTTACTCAGCATAACAGGAGGATTTGATTAGTCTGGTTTGGGAACTTGTTGTATAATAATCGAATGATACACTATTTCTTTTAAGATTTATTTACTTACTTTGTTTGCATATATGCCCACATCCCAGAAGAAGGCACAAGATCTCATTACAGGTGGTTGTGACCCACCATGTGGTTGCTGGGAATTGAACTCAAGACCTCTGGAAGAGCAGCCAGTGCTCTTAACTGCTGAGCCATCTCTCCATTTTTAAATCAGCTGTATGAAGTTTCTTCGTTCCATGAGATACATATTGCTTTTAGATTTTAATTTCATTGTTTCACAAATCATCCTGTACATGTTTGGCTTTTTTGTCCCTGAAGAATTACTGAGATTTCAAAGGCCTGAAAGGTATTAGCTGCAAGGTGGAAGGTAAGTAACAGAGTATCCCTTATGTTCCGTTGTTTCTCAGACTCTGACCTTCCAGGAAAGGTTGGTTATCTGTAGACTCTTCATGTTGCCTCCCGTCTACCCTGAGATAGCTTGCCTTACAAAGTCTGTTCTTGTAGCTGAGCGTTTTTTGAATCATCCTGTTTTGAACAAAGTACCACTCTTAATTTTGTGGTAATTTGGGGTTAAGAACTCATTGCAAAATGTGGCAAAATGGTGGAGACATGTGGATAATGGTGTTTGCTGTTACCCTGTTGTATCTCTCTACTATCTTAAGCTATAGTACAAGTTACAGCCCTACTATAGAAATAAATTTAAAACACAAAGACCAATATAGGAAAAGAATCTATGAGTAACATTTAAGAAAACCTAGGTGTTGAGGAAAGGCGAGTGTTTTGTTGATAAAATACAAAAAAAAAAAACCAAAGTATTATTTTTTTAAGCATTTAAGTGCCTATTAGGTAATAGACATTGTTTTAGGTATCAGAAATGCAGAAGTGAACAAAATAGATGAGTCCCCATTTGACTTGTATTTTACTGAAGAGATAAAACGTGTTTATGTTATCTATAGATGTCTATCAGCTCTGCATGCTTAAAAATTAAAGGCGTAAATAGTCAAATAGAAGACTATCAGCCAGTCATGATGGTGCACACCCTTACTTCTAGCACTGGGGAGGCAGAGGCAGGCAGATCTCTGCCTCTGCTGCCAGCCTGGTCTACAGACTGAGTTCTTGGACAGTCAGGGCTTCTTCACAGAGAAACCATGTCTTGGGGGAGAGGGGAGAGTCTCTAAGAGTATAAAATTTGACGAGTTGATTCTTGGGTTTTAATAGTAGGGGTTCAGACAAAGTTGTTCTTTGTCTGCCCAGCTTGAAATTTCAACTTTTAAATCGATCTTTGTTAAACTGCAAAAGTTTTGGCCTCTTAGAAAATTGATGGACTACTTTTCAGAGGCAGTAAGGTTCACAAAACCTTGATAGTCTTCTAATTGCTCTGTTAGAAGTGTCTAGTATGAGTTTCTTTTGCAAAAATTAATTCAACACTTGTGTTTCTTATGCATACTGTTTTTAAGTCTGTCAGTTTTCCAAGAGTTGGCCCTGACCAACTTAGTTTTCCAGTTTGCTTTTTCTTTTCCCATTGCTGCTGCTGCAGCTGAGGATTCTATACCCTGCTCTGCAAACTATATATACAAAAAGCATTCTGTTTAGCTTGGTGTACCATATAGCAAAGAGACAACATGTTGCCACTACTTAATTTTCTAAGTCACATTGCTTGATTGAATATCAGTATGTATTTTATGTATAATAATGTTTGCTGATCTACCAATAAGATTGGATCTACTCATTTAAGGAATAGAGTGGTTTTACACAATAGATAAGCTAATTTTAGATTCAAAAGTTATGCTACTCAGTAGGATATTACAAGAAAAAGAGTTCTTAAGTATGAAAACTAAAGCTTTATTTATAAGTTAAAATTTATTAGTAAAATGTCAGAAACGTGACCATAGCAGGATTTTAGAAAGTAAATTCACATAGAATTAATACATATAACTAGACTTTTAAAGAGCCACTGTGTGCCCTTAAGAGGATGGAAGAAATGGCCAATTAAACATCATAATACTCAGCTCCAAACAGTAATAAGTAAGCATTAAAATATTTAAGTAGTACAAAAGTATTCCTTCTTATGACACAGTTTCTTCTAGTTTTTCATGGTTTTGTTGTTCGTTGTCTCTATAAATGAGTAATGAGTACTGTGTAACTTTTAAGTTGCTGTTTTAATTTTAGAAACACAATATATTGTTGATACATTTTAAAAGATTCTATTTTTTAGAGACAACTGTTAAAATCAATAGTGAGTCAAAAAAACTCTGAAAGAAAAAATGAATCTAAAATTTTTTAAATTGCAATTCTTCTAGTTCTTATAGATAAGGTACTAGATTCTGAGTCTCAAGTAATACACAAAAAGCAAGATACCTAAGTAATTAAAAATTATATACAATAAAGGTTCACTATCCTTTGCAGCTCACCTTTTAATAAAAACATTGAGGGAGTTGGATTTTTATGTAGGAGCAGGAACATATCCTTGGACATAAAATGAAGCAGTTTTAAGTGTGAAAAAAATATTAGGTTAAACACCAATACAATGGACAAAAGCCTAACATCCACTATGTGCATGTGTACATTCACATGTAAAGTTTAGCACAAGATATTTAAACAGAAAAATCTTAAAATCCTACAGTATCATCCATATTGGTAAAAACTGAGTCTAAGGATGATTTTAAAAACTGATGGCTGTGAATGAATGAGTTAATTAATTTAGTAGACACGAGTAATTACTGTGTGCTAGCTTCTGGGCTCTGAAAATACAACAGAAAGCACTGGTCTCTGCAAGCAGACCATTAAAACCAATACATTAACAGTGTTAGGATATTACGGTTCAGTAGAGTACAGCAAGTATGGAAGACAAAAGGCTAGTCCTGAAGAATTTTTCAGAGTCAGCTAAAGGATGATGGTATTGTGGAAAGGAAGATAACATTTGGAATGTGGTAGGAAGTTCCAGACAACAATTCTTTAGGAGGTTCTAATGTGAAGGAAACATCAAAGAAACCATAGGACCCCCAACAAGTCCAGATCCTGTACTGATGCTACCAGGAGGTCAGTGAAGGACCGTTGATCATAGGAGTCACACGGTTTTACTCACATGAAGAGTGAGTTACAGGGGAATAAAGCTAGAGGCAGAAGACCATGCCTCTTAGCCAGCTGAATCAGAAGGGTCAAGGTAGCTTTTCTTACAGTTGTAAAAGGGATGGCTAGACATGGAGAAGTTTTAAAAGGCACATCTGACGGAACTTGACACTATGGATGTAGTGGGATGGAAAGACAAACTGGTAATTTTCAAGTTTCTGCCTTGAATGACAGCAGAATCACAGAAGAGGCTGGTTTGGAAGACAGTGATGTGTCTGAGCCAGTTACAGGATTTAAATTGTCTTAATGTTTCTAAGGAATCTCTGCTTTTATAGAATTTAGAGAATGAACACCCAGGGAAATATGGAGCTTTAAATATTTGTAAAAGAAGTTCAAATGGAGCTAGGTACATATGTTTAATCCCAGCACTCAGAAGGCAAATCTCTTTTGAGTTGGAAGCCAGTCTCAACTAGGCAGGAGAGAGTTTAGTGGATAAGAATGCTTATTGCTCTTACAGAAAATGTGGATTTGGTTTCCAGCACCCATATCAGGTGACTCCAAATCAAGGGATCAGACTCCTTCTCCTGGCCTTCACAGCCATCTGCATGCATGTAGTACATATAAACTCAGGCAAGCATGTACCAGACATACATATATGCATATATATGTATATATATATATGTATATATATGTATATGCACATATAAAAGTTAATATTTTTAATCAAATGGGCAAGATATAGTGGTGCACTTGGGAGGCAGAGGCAACAGTTCCAGGACAGCCTGGTCTGCATAGTGAGTTCTAGAACAGCCAAGGCTGTGTAGAGCAACCCTTTCTCAAAAGAAAGAAATCAAATGGACTTTCATAATTTATCCACAAGAGGGCAGTAGACATACAAATTTAAGCTTTCATACAGCTTTTCATTTCAGGTAAGTAATTGACAGACTGTTTTAGAGTGCTAAAAATAGTTAAGCAAAAATATTTTTAAACTCTTCCCTTAGCTGACTTATCCAGATTGTCTCTACTTATTTCTACGTAGATGAAATTAAGAAAATAATTTAAGTAAGCTAAACATTAAGCATACTGTTTTAGGAGCTATATACTTGGTAGCTAAGTTCTCTTGAGTTACTTTGGAATAAAGCATGAGGGGAAACAATGGCTTCTCATGGCATTTCTTAATGTTTTGTTTTAAAGGGCTCTCTAAATACATACAGATTCTGCGATAATGTTTGGACTTTTGTATTGAATGATGTTGAATTCAGAGAGGTGACAGAACTTATTAAAGTGGATAAAGTGAAAATTGTAGCCTGTGATGGTAAAAGTAAGTGTTCCCCTAATTACTGTGAAAGTAAAATTTGTTGAAATATTTTTTTCTCCTCTTTAATTATCTTGATCTATCTGAAAGTCTCAGGGGAAAGTGGCCAGGTGATCAACCTTCAGATAAAAACCTCGCTTCTGGATTCTACATCTATCTCCTTTACTGAGAGTACATCTGTATGCTCACATGGCAAACAGACACTTAGCACAGATTAAATTCATGTGCAAGGAAAGGAAGCAAACTACTAAGTTTCCTTCCACTGAGTTGTTTATTTGAAGCAGTCATCAGGCTTCTCACTGCCACCTTTCTCTTTAGGAAAGTAATGTGTAACTTTGAGCATTTTAAAATTTATGTGTTGCTGAATACCCTATACTTATATATAACAAGTTAATTATTTTAAAGCTGATTTAAACTATTGCAGTTATAATGGGAAAGCCCCAGTCCTCTGATTTGTTAAAGTGCACAGCGCTGCCCCCTGCTCAATGACTGGCTATTTCCTTTTGTTTATTTTTGAATAGAACCCAAGTCCTTGTACTTGCTGGTTTGCACAAAGTCATGTTCTAGCCCTGTGTTTTATTGTGTATTACTTCAGTTGATAACAATTGTGTTTGAAGCACCACACCCTGGAGTGTAAAGACTTCCACTTGAAGAAGGGGCTTCTAAGAAGCAAGGGAAAGATAGGAAGTAATAGCCCCATTTCTTGAGTTTCGCATCAAGTTTGTTTTGTTTTTGTTTTTTGAGACAGAGTCTCTGTAGCCTTGACTGGCCTGGAACTCACTCTGTAGACCAGGCTGTCCTCAGACTCAGAGATTTCACCTGCCTCTGCTGCCTAACTGCTGGGATTAAAGGCGTGTTCCATATGACTAGCTACAGTCTAGATTTTTAAAGAATATCTAATCACTGAAGAAATGTAGAGAATACAGAAAAGCTCCATATATAAACTAGCTTCCAAAGTCAAGACTTCAAGTTTTAGGGTTATATTTTTATAGTAACATATCTGCACAGACATGTTTACACACATTTTTTCATATAGAGTATTTTTAATCTGATTTCTGGTAGCTACATAAAATTTTCAGTCCTTTATATTTATTTAATTTGATTTTTATTTTTTTTAAGGCACGGTTTCTCTGTGTAGCCCTGTCTATTCTAGGACTCACCTTGTAGACCAGGCTGGCCAAACTCAGAGATCCATCTGTCTCTGCCTCCAGAGTGCTGGGATTAAAGGCTAAAAAGTCTTCCAGATGTCAGAAAGTCTAGGAAATTAGCACTATTGCACTGACTTACTCATCAGAGCTAACTAGGAGTCCTCAGCAGTAGTCCTAGAGACTTTTTAGTGTGACCAGCAGATACTTAAGATTTTTTTTGTTTTTGCTAGGAACAGTGTACATTTGAGTCACTTTTTGTTTTGTTTTCCATTTCTACAATGGTAGTATTGTTTGCTGTGCCACAGGTTAAATTTCTGTATTCAAAATAATTTACACTTTGATGTTTTTTTTTCTCTTGTAATTTAAGCTAATAACATCCGTATAACTCTTAGGGTTTTGATGCTTATTGAACCATTGAATTTGTGCATTATTTTTGTAATTCCTAGATATTTGTAAATAAATTACTATAAATGAGCCAGGTGGTACAGACCTGTAATCTTTATTACTTGGGAAGCTGAAACAAATACTATCTTCAAAGGTGACCGAGTGAGCTCAGGGCCAGCCTGAGCAACTTAAACTCTATCTGAAAGAGTGAAAAGGAGGCTGGAAACTCAGCATATTGATAGAGGGCTCAGCTTATATGAGACCTTAGGCTCAATCTTTAACCCTGGGGAAGGGAGCAGGTAATGAGCACCAGTTCCGCTGAGGAGAATTTGTGTAATGATGAAAATGTTCTTCATCTGCAGTCCATAGTAGTCATGCATGGCCCTTGAACACTTAAAATGTGACCAGGGCAACTAAAAATTTTTATCATCTTATCTCATTAACTGATTTAATTAATTTAAATTTTAAGCAGCTGCATGTTGCTAACCAGTCACGACTGAATTGAGCAGGGTAGATGTGACCAGTAGAAGGTCAGTTTCAGTCATTTGAACCCAAAAAGCAAAATTACCCTTTTTTACTTCGGTTAGGTGTTCTCTGGAGAGCTGCCCTAATTTAAAGCAAACCATGGTAATTGATCTTCAGCAAAGATTGGATCTCTGAGTTTGAGGCTAGCCTGGTCTACAAAACAAGTTCCAGGACAGCCAGGGTTATAACACCGCCCCCCTCAAAAAAAAAAAAAAAGGAAGGAAAAATGGTTGTGGTGGATTCCATTTTTCTGTATCCACAGGAAAAGATGAAATCTTAGACATGGTTAAAATATAGTTTGGCATTTAAAGATTAAATTCAGTTAATTAGGAAAATTCCTAATAAATCAGGTGCTATAAAATTTCATACTTCTAAAATTAGCATCCATCCTAAATTAAGCTGTGTTCTCAACAGAGTAGCAGAGAAAAGGGCAGCAATAGCCAGAACCAGAAGGTTGCTGTATTTCCCAGCAGGATGTGGCCTGAAAAGGCTATTTACACTATCACACAGCAAATAGCTGGAGGCTTAGGCTGTTTCTTCCGTCTGCCTTGGGAAGGAAGCTGTTGACCTTGGCTGAGCCTCTCTGGAGTGCCCCTCTCTCCCTGCGGCCTCCTCCTCCCCCACACTGTTAGTCCTTCTCTAGATGTACCTGAAGTACTGATATTTAGGATTTGCTCCTTGAATTGATCTCTTTCCTGTTTCTAGATACTGGCTCCAATACTACGGAATGAGTAAGAAATGCGGCTTTTTTATGCCACCTTCTGTTATTTTCATCGCTTTTTGAAGAGAAACATAGAAGAGACTTTTTTTTAATTTATTCTCACGGTGCAGAAATGACAACACTGTGCTATACTACCCAAGGGTTCCACAGAGAGAAGCATGTGGCTCTGTTCTCTTACATGACCTTTAGTACACAGCATAAATGGAACTTTTTTAAATGACAAATCAAAAGTGGTTGCCTTCAAAAGAATATTCTTCAATAAACTTGTTTTAAAACTTGTTGTGAGTAATAATTGATGTAGCTGGTTAGCAAGGAGTTGTCAGAATACCAGATGAGCTATTAAGAGGGACTTGGAAAAGGTATCCTTCTGATAAAATCATGTTTGCTTTGTCAATTGTAATTTTATCTGTTAAATACCAGGGGCAGACCCAAATGTAGATGGAATTTTACTAAGAAAATCTCATGCACACAACCCTTTTTCCCCCAAAGGACAAATTCAAAGATAGTTATCAATGTGAGTAACCTAAGCTAATGAGGTGAACTTTAGATAGCTGGTATAGGAGAACTAAGACCCTGCTCCAAACAGCATTCCTGTGAGCATGTCACTTATTTTGACCTGGCCCTTATTAGTGTTCATACATTTTTAAATGGTCTCTATCTTACCAATTACTGGAATTATAATTTGTATCCAAAATTCTGGGGCTGGAGAGATGACTAAGCAGTTAAGAGCTTTTGTTCTTACAGGGCGCCGGGGTTTGGCTCCCAGCACCCCTATAGTAACTCACAACTGCCTACGACTCCAGTTGCAGGGACTAAACACACTCTTGAACCTCTGAGGACTCTAGGCATGCATGTGGTGAACGTACATACATGCAGGCAAAACACAGGGTAAGTCTTTAAAGTCTACTCCAAGTCTGTCACATCTGTTTCTACGTCTCTATTCTTGAAGGAAAAGTGTCCCGTTGTCAGACTTGGGAAATGCAATGAAGAGCATGGCTGTCTATAGACACTGTTGAGAGAGCAAATACTAGGTGATTGGTGGATGGATTTAGTGCTGGCTTATCCAAATCTCATATAGACTTGGCCCTTTTGATTTTTCTTGACAGCGTTTTCTCTATGGCCTTGGCTGGCCTGGAACTTGCTCTGTAGACCAGGCTGACCTGGAAGTCAGATATCAGCCTGCCTCTGTCTTTCCAGTGCTGGGATTAAAGGCATGTACCACCACCACCCCACCTTTCTTATCACTCGGTAGATGTGAACATCTGGTATCCCCTTTTGTGGCCAACTTCATTTCACCTGCATTTCAACACTTGAATATGATAACATTCAAGATGATAATTAGGGTCAGTAGAGCTGTGAGGGGGGCCTAGAAGGCAGCCCAAGCCTGGTGTTCCTGTTTGTACAACTTGACAAGCTGATGTGAAACCCTGGACCCAACTTCCATAAGGCATCAGTTTTCTTTTTTGTTTTAAATGCTATTTTTGTTTTGTCTGGGACAATAGCCAAGACTTGACAGCTTGTCCAGAAATCAGACATGGGACCTTCAACAATCTCAGCAGATAAGTCACCAATGAGCTGCAGCTGAGTCTCTGGTAGCTATATTCTTGACACAGTGTCTTGTTAAGCATTCTTAAGGCTGCAGATAGGTGGTTCCTGCTTTACCAGATTAAGGTGGTACATTCTAAAAACATTATTACTATTGTGTATATAACTGGGGATCAAGGGCAGATGTGTGTCATAGCATGAATGTGGAAGTCAGAGGACAAACAGGATGTCTGTGTCTGCAGTTTTCATGTGGGTTCTGGAGATTGAGTTCCTAGACTTTTGTGTTTGAGCCATCTTGCCTACCCGCTTTATCATGGTTTTGATACATCCTCTTTATGGGTTTTTCTAGAGAATCATGGGAAAGTGCACCTAAAAGGAAGATGTGGCCTACCATGATTTGGGCATATTCATGAATATGCCTCTTACTTAAGTGTTTTATACAACTTTAGAAATCCACAATGCAGAACTTGCTATTCTCCTTAGGGATAGCCCACCTCAATTTCTGGAGTGCTTGCTTTACTCAGTAAATCAGCTTAGCCAGTGTTGACGGTGCACGCCTTTAATTTCAGCAAGGCACAGCAAGTGGATCTCTGAGTTCAAGGCCAGCCTGGTCTACAAAGCAAGTCCCAGGACAGCCGAACCTACACAGAGGAATCCTGTCTCTGGGGAATGGGGAGATGGCTCAGAAAATCAATTCTGCTCAAACATGAAGGCCAAACATTCTTCAGAACCCACACAAAAGCCCCTCAATGTGACCTGTGATCCCAGCACTGGAGAGGCAGAGACAGGTTTCCTGGGACTTATTGACTAGCCAGTCTACTCAGAGTGGCAAGCTCCAGGTTCATTAAGACACTATCTCAAAAAATGAAAAATTAAGGAATCTTTTTTTTTGTCCAACAAGTAGAATATTTAATGAACATTTCTTTAAAATATTTTTTTTTTATTTCCACTTAGTCAACCCTAAAAACAAGGAGATCTAAGTGTAATGATCTGCTCTGACCCTTTAAGAGACAAGCCATGCCCACTCCCCTGTCCGCCAAGGCAAGCTGATCTTCAGCTTCCAGCCCAAGTCCCTTTTCTTTTCCATCTCTCACCTGAAGAGGCAGCTTCTACCTTGTTCCATTCTCCCCCACTTCTCCCCTTCCCCTGTCTCTATCTCTATCTGTCTCTCTGTATTTCCTCTGCTCTTCCCCCTTCTTCCCTTACACCCTCTCCATCCCTTCCATAATCCACTAAATAAATATCCAGCCTCACTCTGCATGGCGTGTCTCTCACCGCCACGCGGCTCCCTGCCTGGGACCAGCCGCCTTCGGAGACCTGCGGCGTATTCTCATGGCATGCCCATCTGTCTGTTTCTCCTCATGGGACTCGCCCCTCCTGGCCCACTGCAGCCACTTGGGAACTGTGCCATCCCTGCCTGGGACTGGCAGCTCTCAGGACCTGCCCACTGCCACCACTTAGGGACCAGCGGCATTTCTGCCACTGTAGCCACTCGGATCCGCAGCATTTTACTTAATCCATTACATTGGTGCTGTGAGACTTGGGAGGCTCTCCTGCCCCAAGTCATTATCCCGGGATCAGGATCCAGAACCAGGTATTTTTTTCCACAACAACCACGTGTTCCATATGCCTGAGTGTAATTTCTATACAAACACCGGCTTCAATTGGTGAGTTTCCCCCATTCTGGTCACTTTAACCATTTCTCTGAACCTGAGGAATTGACCATTGAGCTCCCAGAAATCTTCTGGTGTTCCTAGAAATGGGGGACAGTCCCCAACCATGGTCTTTGGGCTATGGTTGCACCCTTCGCCAACATTCATCTGTGTATTGCTTCCCTTAACCTAAAATCGTCTTTGGATAGCCCGGGGTTGGTCCTCCCGTGACTGGGGGATCCAGGGTCCCTCAGATTCTTCTTTCTCTCTTTTTCTTTTTTTCTCCCCTGCCGTGAAAGGTCACTCGGAGCAGACTCTGGCCTCTCTGGCTTCTAAGTCACCCTGAGCAGATCCAGTCAGGCTGTAGCACTCCACCTGTAGGCAGAGGATACTCCTACAGGTCCTGAGGTGTTCACTGCCAATTTACACCCTGCCTATAAGGGGAGACATCCTGTTATAGGCCTTGTGGTGTCGCTGTTTTGCGGGTTTTCACGGTTTCAGCTATGGGTAGCAAGCCATCCAAGCCCATTAATCCAGCCTCCTCCCTGGGATGCCTTTTAGAGGCCCTAAAACCCCACGCCTTAATGCCCTACTTCTTCAGTTCCTACCCTCAATCCACTGGTGTCCCGCTAGCTCCGCTTTTACGGGAGCTTTCTAACTACTGTAAGCACACAGGCAAATGGAGGGAGTTTCCTTAAACTGTCCCTGTCACCACTGCTGCTGCCAACAAGATTGGTCGGATCTACAAGGCAACTGTTTCCAGTTCCAGCCTTTTGCTCCCCACCATGGCTTGTGGCAAGGTGACTCAGCAACAGGGCAGATCATGCCTCTATGTTTCTCTTATTAAACTTAAAATCCCTGCAGCTCAAAAATTGTGGCTTTTCCATACGTGTAACCACTGCCATTTTGTCTGAGATCAGGTGACCTTACCACCATCTTAAATGAGGTCAGGTGATTTCACTGCCATCTTAACTGGGTGGATTTTCCATATAACATGTGACCACTGCCATTTTGACTGAGGTCAGGTGACATTACCACCATTTTAACTGAGGTTAGATGACTTCACTGCCATCTTGGCTGAGAGCCAGGTCAGATAACCAAGTTCTGCCCTCTTTACTAAGGTATTCCCTGCCTGGTTCCCCAGTGTTAATTCTGTTACATGGGTAACTTTACCACCATCTTAACTAAGGTCAGGTGATTTCACTGCTATCTTAACTCAGAGCCAGGTCAGGTGACCAAGTCCTGCCATCTTTACTAAAATATACCCTGCCTGGTCCCCCAGTTTACTCATGTTTTTGTCTCTAAATTCCTCTTGTTGACTCTGTTGCATCTGTTTTGTGCAGTGGCATGCCTTTGGTAGGGCCCACCAAAAGCATCCCCTTCATCCAATTCCTGTTCACTCTGTGTGTGTGTGTGTTCATACATGTAACTTAAATGCACATGTTTACTGTTAAATGTTATAATGACTGTTCATTGTATCTCATTCCAGACTACAAAGCAATAAGTTTCATGTTTTAAATTGGTATGTACTTTTAAGTCTCTTACAACATTACAGTATATTTAATCATACCCTGCTTTAAAATATATTAAGATGTTCTCTACTATTGTCAGTTCTGCCGTTAACCTTCTATTGCATGCAGTGTTTTCTTTCTATCTTTTAACGAGTGTAAATCTTACCTGTTAAGTTGAGAGCCAGTACAGTCAAGCTTGGATCCAGATCTCCAGGCAAATTCTATACTGTAGCTGTACCTGATAAACAGCCCTCAACTGCTCAGAGATCTGGGGAATATGGCATTTAAATATTTGACTAGTAAAAGACTTTTTATAACAAAGAGAGACAGGTTGGCTTCAGCAGCAACCCTCTATTTCTTCCAAAGAAGACAGAAGACAAATAGGCACAAAACAACATTCATCTGCACTTTTCTTCAACTGCCAAGTGCTGACCATTGGACAAAACTGCCTTTCATCCAAACTGAAGCTCACCTGACAGTGAACAGAATCACTGGAATTGACAACCTCACTGCTCAGGTCAAGGTAGGCTTGTGTTCCTATAGATATCTTAGCCCACAGGATCTGCTGGA